TGTGTGTGTGTGTGTGGTTACCGGGGTGACAGAGCAGCAGACAGGTGTGACCACAGCTGGGTTTGAGCTCCTTCTGACAGACAGAGCCGCAGGAGTGAGGGACCAACCAGGGGTCGGCTGGAGGGTCCTGCAGCTTCCCACAGTAACACATGTACCTGAACACAAGACCCACAACAATCAGGCTCACAGACAATTCCCACTTTAACACAGTTATGATAAACAACCTAAACTTTGACAGGAAACAGCAGAAGGTGCTAATTTTGTTTCAGCTCCGCTGCAGGTTGTTCCTTCAGGTGTTTGTTTGGCAAATCTGTAAATCATCAACTATAGAATAAATAAACGGGGGGTGACTGTGGTCCAGTGGGTAGAGCAGTCATCAGGGGGTCAGAGGTTCGAATCTCGGTGCCTGCAGTCCACATGTCGAAGTGTCCTTGGGCAAGACACTGAACCCCCCTGATGGTTAGAGCCATCGGTTGAGGTGGCACCGCAGATGGCTGCCTCAGTTCTGTACCAGAAACAAATTCCTTGTGTGTAACATACGTACTTGGCCAATAAAGGTGATTATTAATAAACTACGTCCAAAGACGTCAGAAAAAAAATGGCTGTAATCCATAAACAGGTGCAGGATGTCTCTGAGTTGACCTGTCTAGGGTGGACCCTGTCTCTTGCCCAGTGTCAGCTGGTATTGGCTCCAGCCCCCCATGACCCTCATTAGGACAGTTAATGGATGGACATCTCTGAGTCTCCAGTCTGAGAGTAAAGACCATTAAATGTTCTGGATTGAAGCTTGTTGCCCTGAAAAGACTGTCTGCTTCAAAACCTTCACACAACCTGAAGACCGATGTTTAAACTGCAGCTCATTAATGACCAGCGTCAGCACATCGGTCCTGTCTGTTTGTCCCTGTACAATAAAACCAACTGGACAGTCAGTGGCTCCTCAGGCTGGAGTGTGGAGCCCCCTGCTGGACAACAGCTGCAGTGACAGACTGAACTGTCCAACCACAGGCAACACAAAGGTCAAAGGTCAACAAGCATTTCATCCACGGAGCAAGAGGACGGGCTCTGAAGTTCACCCTAAAATTAGTTAAAAATGCTGACCTGGCTTTTTTAAGGGCCAAAGTTATACGTTTTAAAAAAGCTTGTTTGGTTAAAAATTTGAAGAAATGAAGTGTTCTTCACTTAAAGAAGAAAAACCTAATCTGATCCAGGTAACATCTGGCGCTTATGAAAACACAGCAGGAACCTGCTCCAGTCTCTGAGTGGGTTTCGCTCTCAGCAGCTCAGACGTGGAGCAGAGTCAGAAGAGGGCGCCGCTCGCCGACAGAAACACTGCTCAGCATGGCCCACAGACAGCGACCCCACAGACAGCGACCCCACAGACGCTGTGATCTGTGTAAAGGCCTATGAAGTCCATGCTGCCTTCTGTTACATTACGATCTGTGTGTTTATGTGCAAGAAAAACATCTGGATGAAGCTGATTTGTGCTGACATGGCAATATCTTTACAGACATACCTGTTGGGTGTGGCGCTGGGGGGATACTCCGCTCGACACTTTGGACTGAGGACAGAAAATCAGAAACATTATCAAAAACTGATGATTTTTAATTTATAACCAATAAATCAGTCAGTTATTTTCTTGATAACATGAGGAAACATTTCCACAGTTAAAGGTTCAGTTTATATCATATCAACACAGGGAAAAGAGATATTCAAAATATCTGCTAATTAGTTTTTTTATTGATAACTAAAAACACACAAGCTACAAAAAGATAAAATTATATAAAATACTGCACATTTCTGTCAAACACAAGTGTCAAATGACTTTGTCCTGAAACTCTGTAAAGCTTTAGTCCACAGGTCTGATACAGGTCTGGTCTGGTCATTTCCTGTAAAGACTAGACTGAAACTGAATCTAGTTTGTTCAAAGTAAAGGTTAAGAAAAGATATTTCCTGTAAAGACCTGTTCTCCACAGTGGCTCACCAGGGCCAGGGGTGCTGCTTCTGGCCAAAGTCTTCGTCAGTGACCGAGGAGACAAGGAAGACTGAGTCTCTGGCCCACTTCTGAATACAGGGCATGTGGAAGAGGGAGAAACAGCTGGAGCAGCTCCACACCTGGACACAGAGAGAGACTGAGGTTAATGTCTGTGTGTGAAGGTGGAGCAACAGTCGATATCTGCACAGTCCAGGTCATTGTGCAGGTTCCTGCAGGTTCAGCATGTTCAGTTGCAGCCTCGTAAAAACCTCTCACGTTATAACTTAGTCTACCTTCAGTTGTTAAAGAATTACGGGACAATAACAGCAACAGGTAGTCACTAATTAATCTGTATATTACGTTTATTTCACATTTTCCCTCAGTCCTACCAGCTGTGTACAATTTTAATAATATAATCAATTAACATGAGATGGACACAGAAAAGCAGCAGACAATGGAACGATGATTAACTAATTATGTGTCTCACCGGCTGCGTCCGCTTGACAGAGGCGATGCAGATCAGACAGGTGAGAGCTCCAGACTGAAACAGGTCACTGACATACTGACCAGTCCTGACCAGGCCTGCTGCATCTCCACCTGTGTGGACGCGCGCGCGCACACACACACACACACACACACACACACACACAGAGGACCGTGATGTCAGTGCATCTGTAGCAACTAAACTGTCCTTATGCATTAAAAGCAGAATGATTTTATGCAATGAAAAACTCGTCCTGTTATCTCCCTGCTGTGTAAACATGAAATACATGTGTTCAAATGTAAAATTCACAAAAATTATCAGCTGCCGGCTACATTATTAGTTCATATAGAACCATGTATGTTCGATTGCTAACGCTCTGAAAACATAAAAATCATCACAGAAGTCATGTGGTCTCCACCAGGCTGCACCTGTCTGGTCAGTGTAGATGGTGAAGGTCGACGCCAGGATCTTCCCTCTCTTTCCATCCTTATGGTCGTCATCGTCATCATCCTCATCATCAGAGGAGGAGCTGAGCTGGCTCTCCACCAGCCGCTGAGCAGCAGCCTGGTTGTACTTCCTGATCTCTTCAAACTTGGACTGGACAGTCACAGCTGTCGGTCAGAAAGAGAGGAAAATGAGAACTAATCTGACAGTTCTGAACCTGTTTGTGGTCAGAGGATGTGTACAAGATTCAACAGTGACGTCAGTCAGACTCCGTCCTCACCAGGTGGGGGGTCTGGTGTTGCAGCCATCTTCGTCTTCCCTCCTCGTCCTGCCCCCGACACTCCTGCAGCAGCTCCCGGCCTCTCCCTCTCTCTCTGTGGGGGTTGTGACCTTTCACCCTTACCCTCCTGACTCCGGCCTCGGCCCCGGCCCTGCTGTCTCCAGGCCGGCTCCATGGCAACAGCCTCCCAACCTCTACAGACAGAGAATGAGATGGCCAGAGGCAGGTGGTGTATAAACAATACGTTCATTACCCAGATATTCCATGTGTGAACAATCACATTACCAGTGCAGCGTTCACGTAAAGTCGGATGTGCTATTTTTCCAGTTTCTCTCTAAATTAGGTCCCAAAAGACAGCTTACTCTAGCAGGGTACTATTAAAAGACAGCTTACTGTAGCAGGGTACTATTAAAAGACAGCTTACTGTAGCAGGGTACTATTAAAAGACAGCTTACTGTAGCAGGGTACTATTAAAAGACAGTTTACTGTAGCAGGGTACTATTAAAAGAGCAGATCTCTGACTGGAGTCTGGTGTGCAGACCAGGACACGTCTTGTTCGGCTGCCTGGCAGATTAGCATGTGGCTGCCGCAGCCACCACAGTACTGCAGTAATCTACAAAACATGAAGTACTGTTAAAGGTGTGATAATAAACGAGTCCAGCGAATCTCTTCACCTGAGCTCAGTCCCAACAAACTGGTGTGGACCGAGCTAACGTTCAGTTAAGTTCACACTGCACTTAGCACTTAGCCGGCTAGCTAAAGTAAGCTAGCTGTTACACAAATACAGAGGAAAACTAACGCCAACAAACGTCACATCCGGTAAATAACAGTTATTACAATGTAAATGTCCACCGGAGCTGTCGTAAATCCAAAGTTTAGATAAAGAACAAACAGAAAAGTGATTTTTTACCAGTTTGCACTTCAATACACCTCAGCAGACAACAGCAGTGAACTCTGTTCGCATGGTTGTCTTGCGCGATGCATGCCGGTCGTTGTAGTATCCATTCAGGCTAAAGAGGTTTCTGTAATGACCTACTGTGTGAATATAAAACTACAAATCCCATGTCGCAGTGAGACACAATCAGTGCGACGTGTCGTTTAATTCATAATCTGGACCAGCGTTAGTCAATAAAAACAACGTTACCAGATTTTTTATTTTTCATTTTACTTATTAAAGCATGTATACTTTTATCTTTGTTCACTCCTCACTCTGTTATGTGTATTAATGAAAAGTAAATAAGTACATTTACTCAAATATTACTGTACAACTTTCAGGCAGTAATATAGAATTAAATAAATAGCTGAGTTAGATAAAACTGATTCTGTTGTGTGAAGTTACTAGAAGCAGTCTTCCTTTAATTAAATAAAGGCATTTTATTAGGTTACTGTAAATATAGCTACAGATAACAAATGTACAGAATTAATTTAAAGTATTGATATTATAATAAATAAATACAAACATAACTGTGACAGTGTAACAGTGCAGCTGATCTAAAGTAAGAAAGTCACTTCTGTGTTTCTTTATGAAATGCCTTTATCAGCTTTATGTTGATCTTAGTCAGCAGCTTTACCATTAATATGTCAGTCTTTTTATAGTAAAACAAACTGTACATGAAGTTTGTTGTCAGAAAAACAACTGATCCAGGTTTACAGCAGGATGCAGTCACCTTGGCTGACCTCTGACCTCCACTGGTTATTAAAGCAGGTGATCTAGAAATTAAAGCTTGTTCAACATTGTCTGTCTGGAAAAAACTTGTAAAATGTCAGTGAAAATGAAGAATTGTCACAATAATATTTCAGAAATTGCGATAGTTCAGTTCATTCAAGACAAGTACGTCAGAACTGTTTCAGGACTTTAAGAACACAGCGATGAATTACACAAATAATCTGATACAAACATTCAGTTTTTCACAGATTGAACTGACAGAAAAGGAATCGTAACGTGAACACGGACGCAGTCAGAGACCTGGATGAGGTGACACACCTCCATGTGGTCCAAAACCATTTTACCCATAGACCTCCTTTATTAAACAGAGACCTGGATGAGGTGACTCACCTCCATGTGGTCCAAAACCATTTTACCCATAGACCTCCTTTATTAAACAGAGGACACCTCCACCTGTACACAGGGTCGGCTTTTACACTTTGTATGTGCTTTAAATCCATTGAGGTTTTATATTAGAGCCTATTAGTGAGTTTTATTTTTGTGTCAATATGATGTAAATTTATTATTGTGACATCGTCTCAGGGTAAATTCTGTGGACTTATGCTCATGAGCGACGGTCACTGAGGTGAGTGGGCGCCATCTTGGAGTCAGATATTGTATCCACCTCCTCTGCTACATCCATGACGACGTGATGTGACATTTAAACGAGTCAGACTGTTGCTGTTTTCCTTCACTACATTGTAATGTAAATCTGAGGGAACAGAATTTGTAAATATCTTTTCTTAACCTTTACTTTGAACAAACTAGATTCAGTTTCAGAACTTTACCTACGTGCACCTTTCAAACCTCCTGCTCTCCACCCACCTGGCTAACCCAGGCTCTAAAATCATCCAGTCCTCCCCCTCCTAATCCTCCTCCCTTCTCCCTACTTCTTCTCTTCTTCTTTGGTTGTCTCAGGTGTCAGAGGGGGTGGAGCATCACCTGGCCCCTCGGCTCGTGGTGGCAGTGCCTGCTTCTTCTCCAGCCGAGCGACTCTGTGCTTGAGTTTGCTGTGAGCGGCTTCGTGCTCGGCCAGCAGCCGGGCGTATTGTGTCTGTAGGGCATCCAGTGTGCTCGTCATCCTCTCCACCTTCTCCTCCATCTCTTTGGGGTCGGGGCCCTGCGCTGCCTCCTGCAGGAAAAGTGACATTTCCTTTAGCAGATCAGCCTTGTTGTTGTTCCTGTCTGAGGTCACATGACTTTACCTCCAGGTCCAGCAGTCCGTCCTTCATCAGGATCTGACGTCCTTTCTCCTCCAGCAGCGCTTTAGCATCAGGATACTCCGTCAGCGTCTCCATCAGGTCGTCTTTGGAAAGACAGAAGAGGTCGGAGTAACCGATGCTCCTGATGTTTGCCGTCCTCCTGTTCCCTGCTTTACTGCCTGATGAAGAAGAAGACACACAGTGTCCGGCCTAATATAGATTTAATATTCAATTTTAGTCCTCTTCTACTTTCAGAAGCCAAGAATCACAAACTAAAGTAAACGTCTTGCACTAGAGAAGAAACCACTGATCCTGTCTACTGTTTACTGGCACCAACAAACTGTTTCCAATGTTTAAAATCTTCAACAGAAGTTGTCACCTTTTTCCAGAAGGTTAGACTAACGACTAGTTCTGGCTAATATCGACTACTTCCTGTGGAGGTCAGCAGTCCACCATCTTTGTCTGCAGACTTGCTCTCTACCTTTAATCGCCAGGATGCTGATCTCTCCAAAGTAGCTTCCATCACTGAGAACGACAAAGTGCGTGACGCCGTCGTCTGCGACCACGGCCAATTTTCCTTCCTTGATGATGTACATCTCTCTGCCAATGTCACCCTTCTTACAGATGTAGTCCCCCGGACTGTAGACCTGAGGCTGCAGCTTCAGCACCAACTCCACCAACAGCCCGGCCTCGCAGTCTGCAAAGATACGAACCTGCACCAGGACAACAAAGGGATGTCCTGATGGTTTTTCATGCATTTGAACTGGCCTTATTGAGGAGTGCTGCTACAGACGAGTCCAGACCTTCTTCAGGGTGTCCAGGTGGACGTTGATGGCAATCTCGGCTCTCAGTTTGTCCGGCAGGTACTTCAGCACCTCCCTCTCATCCACTGCTTTCTTATTGGTCCACAGGAAGTCAAACCACTTGATCACTCGCTTCTCCAGGTCTTTTGTCACCTGAATGAGGACAGACAGGTGCAGGAGGGCATTAGGAGGTCAGTCCAGATTTGATTTGGTAAGCCCTGCAGAAACCTGATGCCAGGTGAAGTAAGTGACTGACCTTCCTGAAGGTCATGTACTGTTTTATGGCATCAATGCGAGCCTGGAAGTCGGCTCGGGCAGCGTTCATGTTAGTGATCATGGAGCCGACATTACCAACGATGGTGGCAAAAATCAGCACACCCACCTGGAGGAGAACAGAAACCGGCTGCCAGTTTATTTCTCTAATGTCATCAGAATGTCAAGTTTTAAAATCTTGATCTAGTTGTGCTGCTGGACCAAGTATCATAATATCCTCACACATAAATAAGACTTGTGATATAGTCTATAACTAAAATCTGACTTGATCAAAACATTATTACTCTGAATTTTTATGAAGAAAGTCTTAAGCTCAAACCTACCAGGAAGTCCATGACAACGAAGAAGTACTCAGAGTTCTCTACAGGAGGCGGCGTCTCTCCGATGGTGGTGAGCGTCAGCGTGGACCAGTACATACTGTAGGCGTACTTCCTCACCAGTCGACCAAACTCTGGATCTGACGGGTCGGGATACACAAACCTGTCAGCGCCCAAACCTGGAGGAGCAGGACAAGAGGAGGTGTTAGAGGCTTGTAGAAAGCAACTAGTGATCAATCAGTCAGGACTGAACCACCACCGATGGCCTTGGAGAAGGAGTAGTAGAGGCAGGCGTTCCAGTGGATGATGACGACGATGTACATGACAAGGTTGGAGATGCGGAGAGCGTTGGGGTAGTTTGTCCTGGTCTCTGTCCTCTGGAAGAACTCCAGCATCCTGAAACAAAGACAAGGAGATGAGACTGTACCAGGGCAAGAGAACCTGGCTGCAGGGAAGATGTCGGACTGTCGACCTCAGCAGGACTTCATTGACATTAGCTGGAAGTTGTTAACCCCAGCAGGCCTAGGGTTATGGTTGTGGTTATGGATTAGGGTTCACGTTAACTCGAACCATAACCCAACTTCAGGCTGAGGTTGATAGTGAGTTCCTGCTGTAGACTAGACAGACTGCATGCTGTGTCTTTGTGTACGTGTACCTGTTGAACCTCAGGAGCTTGTTGAGGCGGATTTCGGGGTAGTTGAGGCCAAAGACGACGTACAGCATGTCGGTGGGAATCATGGAGACCAGGTCTAGTTTGAACTGGAAGCTGGTCATGTAGCGCTCACGCAGCTTCTGCTCGTCCTTCACCAGCAGACCCTGGTCCAGGTACCCTGCACACACGCACACACACACACACACACACACACACACACACACACACACACACACACACAAACATGCTTTCCCTGTCACCGAGGTCAGTTTATCTTAGTCTAATCTGAACATCTGGACGGTCTGTGGTGGTTTCAGGTTTACACACTCATCTTGTTTTGGCTTCCACCTTGTTTTCACCACTAACAGTCTGACTGACGACTGGATCAACCTTTGTGATGTCACTTTTATAAATCAATAAAACCAACAATGTGCCCAGTTTTATACTTTTTTCTTCTGGTGTGAAAAACTTTAACAAGGCTTTTTGTTCTCTTGTCCCTGAATCATAATGTGTCAGTGTAAATGCGCCATATGTGCCATTAATAAATAAATAACTAACCCTCCAGACGCCGTGCTTTTGTCGGTCATGTGACTGACTGATCGCCTGTGTCGGCTGCTGCGACTCCAGAGATGCTGATCAGTCACTGGCTGAGTTCCTTCCTCTTTCTTTCAGTTACAACCACATAGTTAACCTGCCAACACTGTGCACACAACCACACATGTTGTTTCGTCTCATGGCTTCAGACAGTAAGCGTGCAAACCTGAAAGTGAATGCACAAACCTGCAAAGCACAGACGCAGACAGGAAGCTGACACCAGACTAACTCAAACCAAATGAAGGTTACATGAACAAATGTCAGTGTAGAAACTCACAAAGTTTACAGACAGTGAACTGTTTTCAAACACACTTCAACAGTAGGTTTAGCCACGTTTGAATGTGTGTGTCTGTGTGTGTGTGTGCGCAGACCGGTCCTGGTCCTGAACACCATGTCAGCGAGGTAGACGAGGTCAGAGATGAAGTCCAGGATGAACCAGTAGACCACGTAGTCAGTCTGCAGCTCCTCGAAACACGCCCTGCGACACACACAGACACACACACACACACACACAGACAGACACACACACACACTCACTCAGGTCACACACTAGTATTAACTGAGAGCACTAACTCCTCTTTCTGGTGTCGGGGCCTAAATTTAAACTCCTCGTTATATCAGCCGATGGTTTGGTTTAGATTTAGGTTCATGTTTGGAGGAGGAGTTAGAAACTGAACGTAGCCGACAACATGAAAGGAAAAGATGGAAAATCAAAGTGTGTGTAACCTGGCGATGATCAGGGTCCAGTTGTACATGACGGGGATGGTAATGACGAGCAGCCAGTGGTAGTAGGTGTCACCTGCCGGGTCGATCACGGTGACCTCCTGGGGACTGGGCCCAGAGACAACAGTCAGAATTAGGCTAATGCCTCTGGTGGCACATGACAGTCTTCATGCAAACTCATCAGAGCCTCGACATCTGTTTTCACTCCAGTGGATCTCAGTAAACCAAACTTACACCTTCCCTTTGGCCTCCTCCTCTTCCTCCTCCTTCTTCTTCCTTTTCCTCTCCTTCCTCTCCTTCCTCTTCTGCTTCTCCTTCCTGGGGGAGAAACAAAGGGAAACTGGTTTCACTGGAGTGAAATTTAAATCCAAACAAAGTCAAAGTTCAGAGGAATCAAAAACATAAAGACGTCCTGTGTCCGTTAGCTGAACTTCATCAGTTCGTCCTCACTGGCTGATTCATTAATCGCTACACACTTTATGATGTAGTCCAAAGAAAACTGCACCAGTCTGAGTTTGATCCTGTGGCCCTTTACTGGGTCCTGAACCCCAGATTGAACTGAATCAAAGGAAATAAAGATCAAACTTACTTCTTCTTCTCTTTTCTTTCTTGCTTCTTTTTCTTCTGCTCCTCCCTGGAAGACACCAGGAAGTGCATCACACAGAGATGCACGTATCAGTGTGTGTGAGTTAGTTTTGTACATGTTTCTTACTCCTCCTTGTTGTTGATGTTGAACAGAACTCCTGTTCTCTGAGCAGCTCTGGGACAGAGAAAACACGTTTAACCTCTTGACGTCCCAGTTGGTAACCAGTAGCTAAGCCCCGACCAGTTCAGGTCTTTCACAGGCTTAACTAAAACTTAACATCTCCAAGGACCCTGGAGCCATGAGCCTATTCACAGACCCTTAATTAAACCACCCAACCTCTGTAAGGACCTTTTAAAGGACCCCCGACAGTTTGTTTTAGCATCTTTATACAGTTACTGAGCAGATGGAGAGAGCTGGGGAACAAAGGGAACAAAGGTCTCCAGTAAGACCTGGCAGGATAAAGCAGTTCATGGTCAGCACCTTGATCCCTGGATCATCAGGTTTCCCTCTGCAGCTTTTTAAGGACCTGTATAATCTCCCCAAAGAGTCTGGAGGGAGGAGGAGCTGCCTGACAGACTGAATTCAGGGTAAAAATCTTAAACTCCACATCTGTACCAACTCTCAGGTGAGGTACCAATAACATTCAAGTCAAAAGTGCAGTTTTTGAACTGTGAGACCTCGTTTCCATGACAACTCACCTGTCCCCCTCCCTGACTTCACCCGGCTCCTCCATGTCCTGTAGAGCGATGGTGGGCGGGGTTAACCTGGCGACAGGTGGAGGGACTAAGAGAGCAACTGTGGCCACGTCAGTGTTGTTGCCCTGACTTTCTGTGGGCAGAGAGAAATGGACACTACATCAGCTTCATGTTGAACTTGATGATGGTCTGTTCTGAAGGTTCTGTCTATTCAGGGGCTTTTATTTTGTCAACCCACAGGAAATCCTCATGGAACACTTTACTACATCCCCATGATGCTCAGAGAGCACTGCAGGGCAGCAGAGAGACTGTGACCAAGGGTTATACAGTCCTGTCTGAGTGTTACCAACCACAGGGCTGTGGTCTGGAGTCAAACCTACACCTGCTCCTCCTGAATGGTGGTTTATTGTCTCAATGACAGGGGAAACAACAGACCCCGCCCACATGGCGCAGGACAAATGTCTGTGGTGCCAGATATTAAAGGTTGTCCTGTAGATAAAACCTGACACAATAAACAGTAAAACGCCATCAATCCAAATAGATACAGCACAGAATGAGTTAGAAGCCAAATAAATCAAGATTTTACTGAAGTTTGTTGCCTTGAAATTCAGTTTTATCAACTTTTTAAAGTTGTACAAAAAACTGAACAAATCTTTTAAATATTTGTTATTAGTTATATGTATATAACTAATTATAATATGTGTTGTATCATAATTACACCTGTAGCCTCCATTGTCACCTTACTCACCTGTCAGCTGATAATCCGTCACCCTTGGTTACAAGACCTAGATCCACCAACAGTCCATTACACTCATCACCATGGAAACAGAGGACACACACCGGTCTCCTTTAAATCCAGGTGTAAGTTTGGGGTCCAGAGAGAACACGGGAATAAAAAGAGGAGAGCTGGTGGAGTGAAGGAGTGGAGGGTCCAGCGGGAGCGTCTCCTCGGTCACCCTGACCAGAGATAAAACTGACCAGGGATAAACAGATTAGAGAAGGGATGACATGTCGGACTGACCTCCACCAGCACAGAGGTGGAGGTCTGAGCCACACTCAGGTCCAATTCACCTGCAGAGCAGGAGCTTAGCTGTTTAACCAGTAAGTCAGGATGAACAGAAGATAAGGAAACAGTCCTGCACATGTGTGAAACAGCTGGACCACCTTATTAAACCGATTCAGTGAATTGGTAGATAGTTTCCTCAGGCGAGAGGGAGGAGGAAAAACTGAAGGAGGAATCTGAGGAAAGAAGGAAGGAAGAATAAAGAAAGGTGGTGAGGATAAGAAAGAAAGCCTGAGAGAAGAACAAAGAAAGCTCAAGAGGATAAATGGGAACAGAAGAACAAGCAGTATGGCAAGGTAGAAGGACAAGGAAACAAGGAAAGGTGGCAGGAAAAGGAGAGCAGGACGTCCAGAGGAAGAAAGGCAGTAAGTGTGAGGAGGGGCAGATTATATCCTCCTGAGTCAGCAGTGTAAACCTAAAGACACACCAGCTCAAGCTGCTGTGGTTAACAAGCAGCTCTGATCGGCTTAGGAGGAATTACACTGCTGTCAGCGTGGACGGTTTGTGGGGACACAAACCTGTTCAGTCACACTGTGGGGACAAAACCCAGGATGGACAGAGCCCTGCCATTAGAGACAAACACAGTGAATAACACAATGCACATAAAACATTCAGATTTGGCTCAGATTAAATGTTTTATTGTTTTATTGTCTCCTTTTTGACAGTAATAAGACTGAATCAACCAGTCAAGCTAAGACATGGTAACTGTTATGGTTTAGTCCCCCTCACCAGGAGGGTGAGGGAGAACAGAGGTAGGACTCAAGATGGCTGACCCAGGTGCTAGTAAAAAACAGGTGGTTTAATGGTGGGGTTCACAAAAAGGAACAGAGTCAATGAACACATACAACCCGGGGCTGAGCAAAGACGGCTGAGGAGAACAGGACGACCAAGGGAGTAGACAGACTAACAACAGGAACCAGGAGAGGAGGACGACGAGGACGGATAGGTGAAAAGACAAGCTAACCAGGAGGATAGGCGAACAAAAAATGAAATCCACAGCACAGGAACTGTCAGCGTGGAAAACAAAAATACGTCTGATACATACCACGAATATAGGGCTGTTACAGGGTATGCACACTAGGTAAGGTAAATACTGTAATGCTCCAGCGAAGACGGAGCAGGTTTGTGGGGACACAAACCTGTTCAGTCACACTGTGGGGACAAAAACCAGGATGGACAGAGCCCCGCCATTAGAGACAAACTAATGGAAGTTCAGATTTGGGTCAGATTAAATGTTGTATTTGTTTTATTGTCTCCTTTTTGACAGTAATAAGACTGAATCAACCAGTCAAACTAAGATATGGTAGCATCATAAAAACACACAGTACTGTATCAGTGACAGTGGGCAGCCTCATATCTGTCAGCAAAACCCATAGAGCCTCAGTCAGGCTCAGTTAGCTGTAACACCAACATGCACACTGTAGTAAACACATGCTGACAGTTGACAAAGGTGCTGCAGCTTTGCAGCACAGACAGGAAACAGAAGCAGCACGGGTGGTTTCTGTATGTTCATGTCAGCAGATCTAAAGTCCTCTCTGAGACGACGACACGTCTCTGAGCTCACAACCACCGGAAACACTTTAACAATACAGAGTCACCATGGCCCATAAACAGCACTGATAATAAAGATATTAAACAGGTATATTATTTCATACACAGTCAGTCCAAACTCAGTGCTGGGCTGGACCATGGTGGGGGGGGCTGTTCCTTCCATCAGAGGCATTAATGGAAAATATCATTACATTTCAAAAATAAAACAGTGCTGTAAATAACCTGTAGTTAAAGTGAAATAATAGCTGCCACTGTTAGATTGATTTTAATGTTTCAGACTCTCCTTTGTTCATAATGTGACTAATAACTGTGTTACACTGTGAAAACATCCAAATGTATGACTGAGGGTTCACATTCCCTGCAGATTCCCAGTGCGACACCACCCGGCTCCAGGTCCAACGACTCTGAACACCGGCGTCTATGTTACTGTATCTTCACTGGCTGATTGAGCTCTAGGTAGCAGACCAGTGTGAGAACAAGCTGGAATGGAATGAAGCCAGGATGTGGAGCTCCGGAGGCTGGGGGTGAGGCCGTGGGATGTGGGGGTGTGGAGGGAGCTGTAGCTATAATTATAAAACAAAAATAAATTACGTTTAATTTAAATGTTTTGTTCACAACAAAGTGGTTAATGGTGGATCTTTGGTTCCACATTTTCAGTTGGTTTGGCCAAACCGTGACTGCAACAAGTGTTTAAGGTCACACACTTGTTGCTAACCTCCTGACCTGTGACAGAGAGCCAGCTGGGTGGAGACGCTCCATGACCACTGATGTTACAGGTGTAGAGGCCTTCATCAGCCTTGGAAACACGGCGGATGGTCATGTGACCTGTAGGCTCCATCCCGACAAAATCTTTATAGAAAGCAGCTGGGAGGCTGGAGGGAGGGCTCCGTGCTTCACAGCGCACAGTGACATCATGTCCCTCCATCACAGGGAGGACAGGACTCTGCAGGATCACTGCTCCACCTCAACACAGAGACAAACTACAGCCTTTCATCCATTTACACACAGCTTCATCAGCACTGACTCCACAGTCTGATCTTACCAGTGACAGTGATGTTGATGCTGTTACTGGTCGCTCCCTGTGTGGACTGGCACCAGTAAACACCACTGTCCATTGGGTCAATGCCCGTGATGTTACAGGAAGAACCAGCTGATCTTCCCCACCCAGGTCCACACTCAGCTCTGGTGTCTCTGGTCGTGTTCCTCCTCAGCGTCCATCCAGCAGAGCTGTCGTCCTCCTCACAGCTCAGAGACACTGACGTCCAGCTGAAGAACTGAGAGCTGCTGGGACTCACAGTCAGACGAGCTGGAAGGAAGAGAGGTTTAAAAACCACTAAATGAGCAGAGTTACCCTCAAACTCACTCACTCACAACCAATTAAACCCCCCATTCTGCTGTCGTCAGTCAATTGTTTGATCATTATATTATTTTGACTAACTCAACTCACAGAACTACCATCCTATTGTGGCAGAGGGATTTGTACATCTCTGTGACCTTGAAACACCCTTCTGTGGTGTGGAAGGACCCAGAACTGGTGCAAGAGGTGGAGCTGTACCAACCAGATATAGCTGGGCTCACCTCTACTCATTACACTGGCTCTGGAGTCCAGCTCCTGGAGATGGACTGCCTGGGTATTTGCTGATGTATTGCCCATGTGTTAACCACAGCTCTTATTTCAGAAATCTAAACAAAAACGTATTCAAAAAACCCACCAACCTCAGGACAAGGGGACCAGAGGTGCAAAAATTCCAGGTCAGTTCTGGGTTTTTGGATTCACTACTACGTCACACTATGTTGATTCATTCTCTACACACATCTGTTGCTCATCTGTCCCGGAGATGGAATCCCGCCACTGCTGCTCTTCCTGTTACGTGTGAGTATGGTGGGGACCCCAGTTGCAGACACAAAAACAAGCGGAGTGGGCATGAAGAGAGCAGTTTAATGAACAAAGCACAGGTAATGCTGGATGGCAGGGAGCAACCGAGGAACTAGGAGGGACGAGGGGACCAGGGAGGAACCAGGAGGGATGAGGAGACCTGGGAGGAACCAGGAAAGATGAGGGGACCCGGGAGGAACCAGGAGGGACGAGGGGACCAGGGAGGAACCAGGAGAGACGAGGGGACCAGGGAGGAAAGACACAGGAACCAGAGGATGAGCAGAAGAGCCAGAAGCAGGAGGTCAGGTAAGCTGGGATATGTAACACCGGCAGTCAGGGTAGCAAAGGCAGTTAGAGTAGCAGACAGATGAACATGGACAGGAGAGCTAGCAGGTAAACAAAACAGAAAAGTGCAGCGCTAAAGACTTATGAATGTCAAAACAGGAAAAAAAAACGGTAAAGAGTACTGACAGAACGGGCGCAGAGTAAATGGGGCTGCTGAGTTGCAGAAACAAACAGAAACGGGTGAAGCAGGACCGGAACACACGCACACATAGTACTATTGGTAGGGTAGTGTAGCATAAATGTAAGGTAAAGGTATCGTCCATCCATCCATCCATTTTCCTCCATTTATCCAGAACCGGGTTGCGGGGGCAGCAGTCTAAGCAAAGATGCCCAGACTTCCCTCTCTCCAGACACTTCCTCCAGCTCCTCCGGGGGAATGCCAAGGAGTTCCCAGGCCAGCCGAGAGACATAGTCCCTCCAGCGTGTCCTGGGTCTTCCCCGGCGCCTCCTCCCGGTGGGACATGCCCAGAACACCTCCCTAGGAAGGCGCCCAGGAGGCATCCGAAACAGATGCCCCAGCCACCTCAGCTGGCTCCTCTCGGTGTGGAGGAGCAGCGGTTCTACTCTGAGCTCCTCCCGGGTGGCCGAGGT